TGCAAACGTCTTTTAATCATCCATAGCTAAATTCTCCATGAGAGCATAAATAACATCCTCTTCAAAGAGGGGTTATAAGCTGAAGAAGATAATGCATATGATGGGCTTAGTATGGTGTCACTACTTAGCCAATAAACAGTACTGCACTTAATTGAGTTTTCCAGGTCCCTTGAATCTCTATGATTGTCTCTCTCTTTTTTTTTTTACCATTTACCAAGAAGACCATTTATTTATGAGGAAGTAAGACTCTTCTTCTAAATTTAATGTGTTTTACAAGTTTTGCAGGTATTTGACAATTAATAGCATACGCTACCGCCTGCTTTGTTCTAAAGACATCTTCTTGGTCTTTGTACAGGTTTTTTTCTTTTTTTAGGTTGTTTATTTTTCATTTCAATGAACATCTACAGAGATTTTGGGATTCCATTCATTCATTGTTGCACCCTTCTCCCCGCACAAACCCCTCCCCCCTCCCCCCCATTTGCTCCTCTCCTTGAAAAGCAAAAGAAAAACTCCCTCATTGGTACACAATCCCCACCCCCTTATGGTCTCTTATGGTTAAAGTACAGGGCTTTTAAAGAGGAGTGAAGAATAAGCAGTGAAACTGCAATGGTAAATTGGACCCTAAGTCTCAGACAGCTATTTGGGTGCATGTCTAGAAAGCCAGGAGGCATCCCTGAAGGTTTGGAGGCAGAGTTGTGTCTCAACGGAGTGATGTTTTCTACAAAGCCTTCTGGAGGCAGGCTAGGAAATGGATCTAAGAAAGGGGAAAACCAGGAAGACCTGTTGGAAGGCTGTAGGGAGAATCCTGGAGAGCAGAGTGCTGAGACCTAAAACAGAACCACAAATGATTTAAAAAAAAAAAATTAGAAATAACTAATGGTATGTGGAAGAAAGACTGAGATTTCAAGTCTGGTAATTGAGAGGTAAAGTAGCAACAGCGTCATTAACACATTGCGCAAATGATGGCAAAAAAAATGTTTCTAAGCACGGTCTCAATTTAAAAGTGTGCGACAACTTGGCAACGAGACAGAAAGCTAGAGAGGCAATTCAAGACACGGTTTCTGCTCAAGAGAGCTTCCAGTAAAGGTTAGATAGGGTGCTTTGAAAAGTGAACACAGACTGGAGTCTGGGCTTTTATCAGATCACTGCGACTCACAGACCTGCTCTCTCCTCTTCACTAGACTCAACAATGACACAATCTACTTCCACATGACCACACATTCCTACAGACCACACTACAGACAAATATAGTTATCTTGTAATGATAGAACAGAGATACCACCCAAGTGGAGGGCTTTACCAAATATTTTCTCTTATAGTTTAAGAGGCTAGGAGTCCAAATTCAGGGCGCTGGGTCTAGAGGAAGGCCCTCACTCTGTGGCAGTTCTAAAGGAAGGTCTTTGTTCCCTTCAGCAACTGTGTATGAACCCTCATGTTTCTTGAAGATTTCCATGTGTCTTGGCCTTTCTGTGTCAGGGACCTCCCTCACTCAGAGAGACCTGTGTCTAAAAGGATGCACTCCACTCCTGGCGATTCTTTCTTGGTGGTATCAAGATTTTCACTCCTTGCTTGCTTTCCTCCCTTTTTTAACTCCTGTAAAGTAAAAGGTATTACAGTGCTACGATGGTATTACTCGGTGTTGCATTCTACCCTTAATCCTCTTATAATGTCTTAGTTTATCAGATCACTTATAGCTTCCACATTATATAATTACATGCATGTATTTTGGGGGAGGACACAAGTCAATCCATAACAGATGCAAAATCTATTCCACTGTTGTACTGACATAGATACACTACTTTTTATTCATAAATATTCTCTCTCTCTCTCTCTCTCTCTCTCTCTCTCTCTCTCTCTCTCTCTCTCTCTCCTCTCCCTCTCCTCTCGCCTCTCTCTCTCATTTTAGGATTGTTGTTGTTGTTATGTGCCATCGAGTCGCTTGCGATTCATAGCTACCCTATGTACAAGAGCTCTATATTCTCTTCTATCCTGTGCCAACCTAGCCATCTCAAATGCACTTATTCCCACCTCTCCAGTCACAGAATTGATCCATCTCATCGAAGGTCTTCCTCTCCTTTGCCACCCCTCCACTCTGCCAAACATGATGTCCCTCTCCAAGGACCAGTCCCCTCCTTGCAACATGCCCAAAGTATGTCAGACAAAGCTTCAGAATCCTTGACTCCAAAGAGCCTTCCTGCTTCACCCTCTCCAGGACAAACCTGTTTATTCCCCTAGCAGCTCATGGTATATTCAACATTCTTCTCCAGCACCACAGCTCAAAGGCATCAATTCTTTTTCTATCAACCCTATTCACTGTCCAACTCTCTGATGCATAGCACGTAATTGCAATGACTATAGCCTGGATCAGGTGCACCTTAGTCTCCAGTCTGACGTTGTTACTCTTCAGTACTCTTGAGAGGTCTCTCACAGCCAACTTTCCCAATGCAATTCGTCTCTTGATTTCCTGACTTAGGATATAAAACCGTAAAACTAGTCTGCTAAAGATATAAAAAGACTAAAGAAGAATTGAATCGAGTTCTTTGTTAATGGGGACTGTGTACTTACAAAGACCATATCAGAAGACTCTGAATTGAGTTAAAATTGCATCAAAGAAGGTTTTTAGGAACACTGTAAAATTTAAAATCTTTCTTTTATACCTAAGATAAGAATGTAGCTTTGCTCTTGAGTTTTATACTCAGGCATGGGAGTGGTAGCTTCTTCATTTTTCATGCATTTTTTTTGCACTGGTTTATATATTTTATGATTTGGTCTTCAACTTATCAGTGGGAGCCACTTAAAGCAAGAGGCGTTATTATTCCCATTTAGTTGTCATTGTTGTTGTTTTGTTATGTGTCGTCGAGTCGCCTGCGATTTACAGCGACCCTATGTACAACAGCCCTAAACTCCGCTCTGTCCTGTGCCAATCGCACTGTCTCCGACACTCCCATCCCAATTATCCCAGTCACTGAATCAATCCACCTCATAGAGGGCCTTCCTCTCCTGCGCTCTCCCTCCACCCTCCCAAGCATGATGTCCCTCTCCAAGGACCGGTCTCTCCTCACAACATGTCCAAAGTATGTTAGAAGAAGCCTCAGAATCCTTGCCTCTAAGGAGCCACCCGGTTTAACCCTTTCCAAGACAAATCTGTTTGTTTTCCTAGCAGTCCATGGTATTCTCAATACTCTTCTCCAGCTCCACAGCTCAAAGGCATCAATTCTCCTTCTATCCTCCTTGGTCATTGTCCAATTCTCTGATGCATAACAGGTGATTGTGAAGACCATGGCCTGTATCAGACGCACCTTAGTCTCCAAAGAGACACCATTGCTCTTCAGCACTTTGGAGAGGTCCCTAACAGCAGACTTTCCCATTGCAATGCACCTTTTAATTTCCTGGCTGCTGGTGCCAAGACTGTTGACTATGGAGCCAAGCAAACTAAAGCTGTGTACAATCTCAATCTCTTCACCATCCATCCTGATGCTGCCAATTGGTCCAGTGGTGAGAATCTTTGTCTTCTTGACATTGAGCCTCAATCCATATTGTAGGCTGCAGTCCTTGACACTCTGCAGCAGGCGCTTCAGGTCCTCTTCAGTTTCAGCAAGCAGGGTTGTGTCATCTGGTAACGCAGATTGTTGATAAATCGTCCACCAATCTTGACCCCACATTTCTCCTCATAGAGCCCAGCCTCCCAGATAATCTGTTCTGCATATAGGTTGTCATTGTTAGGTGTTGTCAAATCAGCTCTAAAACATAGCAACCCTATCACAACATATCAAAACCCTGACCAACCCTGTGCCATCCTTATAAATATCTACTAGCTTAAGTCCGTTGTTGCAGTTACTGTGACGACCCATCTCCTTGAGGGCCTGCCTCTTCTTTACCAGCTGTCTGCTTTTTGAAGTATCATGCCCTTCTGCCAAGACTAGTCCTGTGGATAACATGCCCAAGTTACATGAGAAGTCTCACCATCTTGGTCTCTAAAATCACCCTGGCTGCATTTATTCTAAGACAGATTTGTTTGTTCTTCTGACAGTCTACTCGATATGAAAGTCTTCCTTAATCAATGTCCAACTTTCATAAGTGTATGAAGCAAGTGAAAATACCATGCTTGGCTCACACCAGGCACACTCTAGTCTTTAAATTTATATCCTTGCTCTTAAGTACCTGAACGAAATCTTTTACAGCATATTTGCCCAGTGCAACATGTCTTGTGATTTCTTGACTTCTATGGATATTGCTTATGGATCCAAGTGAAATTAAATCATTGACAGGTTTACTCTTTTCATTAATCATGATGTTGCCTTATGGCCCAGTTCTGGAGGGCTTTATTTTCATTAGGTTGAAGTATAATCCTCATTTTACAAATGAGAAAGCTGAAGCCCAGAGGAGAAAAGCATCTGGCTCATCATCACAGTTAATAAATGGTGGAACCAAGCTTCAAATTCAAGTCTTTCTTCCTCCAAAGCAGTTACTCTTCCACATGTGCGATCTGAAGTGACTCACAAGCTGGGACTGCAATCACAAAACCTTCCTGAGCATGTGGAAGTAAGAAAGAAGTGTGAAAGTTGATCAAGAGAGCATGATGATTATATCACATTTTTTGTCTCTTTTGTGTTAGAAAAACAGTTCTCATTTTCAAACTTTAAGTGAGAAAAAAGGAATAAGGCAAGTGTCATTATTTGCCCAAATAATACAAACAACAGTAGGATGCCAGGGTCCTCTAGAATAAAACAGTAAACATTCAGAAGGCACAATTTAAAAGTTGAATTTGAGAGGCAAGCATAATAGAGAGAAAAATCATCAAGTATTGAAGGAGGGAAAAAGGTAGTGGGGGCACAAGATTTTCATCAGTTAGAGTATTTTAATTGTCATTACCTTTATCTCAGGGCACCTAGATTATGTAGCAGCAGGTGTTTTAAGTGTGTCCGTGCTAGGGGTAGCTGTGTAGATGCTGAAGCTAAGACAGCACTGATAGCTTGAACCATATCTGTCTTCTCCAACAGACTTCAACAGCACAAGAGCTGGGACCATCACATCAGCGAGCTTGTAAGTGTATTCTTCCTTAATGTTTTTTCTTATGGGGAATGAGAACATTTCTAGTAACTCTGGCATGTAGGAGCTTCAGAGATGTTTTTATGGTGTTTTTTCATCCCCCATGGGAGATATTGCCCCTCCTTCTCCAGTGGAGCATTTGGTGGATTCAAACCTCACCTCCAGGATTGCACTGTAGCTTCTTGCCACTGGGCCACCAGAGCTCCCCTAGAGATGGTTTTTAAACTACCAAATCATTAAACTTGGGAAATGCTAACCCAGAGAAGAGAAACATTTCCCCAGGTGCCAAGAGGTAAAAGACTCCATGGTCAAGTTCATGATGTGTGGAACTGATGGCTGGAGCTTCAAGCTCAACTATAGATTTAACTCACAAATGTGACCATGGGCAAATGTCACCTATCTCAGTTTCCTTATTTATAAAAATGGACAGGGCTAGTGTGAACTAAATTAGTTGATTCCTATAAAAGGCTTTGGACAATGGCTAGTAAGGAAAAGTATTTGGGGGAGTTACCTTTTATTAGAACCATCATCAACCACCATTGCCATTAAAATACATTTATTCAATATCTTTGAGACCATAAAGGAAATCCTAAGGTTTTCTACAGTGGGAAAACAGAAGCCTGCGAAATCATCCATATGCTTAGTACATATAGTTAAAGGGACCAGGAAGACGGCACCAGCCATCTAACTAACAGGACCAGTAGAGGCAAAAGCCTAAAAGAGGAAAGGAAGGACAGACAGGTCATTATTGGCTGAGTACTGACCATGTGGCAAGAATCATGCTGAGCACTGCCCATCTCTGGTAGGGATTGCTGTGCTCATCTCAGAGATGAGAAAGCAGAGTCTCAGACATATAGATAGCTCACCCAAAGTTATATGGCTAAACAATATTTGCATTTAAGACTCCATTCTTGAGCCTACCCCTGTTCCCAGGAGTGACTGTAGGCCTCACATTCCAATTCTAGATCCCCTAAGGAATGGAGCTGTACAGCTGATGGAGAGAAATGTTTCTCTCCCATCCCAGGTTCCATGCTAATCCTAAAGTGCTGTCTTGACACACGTCACTTTGACCCGTACAAAGCATGTTTCTTCTTTCATTACAGACACACCTTTCAAAGCAGATGGAGCCAAACCGAGGGCACACCTGACAGGTAACCCTTGATGCATTTCTGGAAGACTATGGACAGTGGTGGGGAGATCTCATTCAGATAGTTTTCCAGAATTTATCCTAGTGGCTTCAAATGAGAAATAACACCAGTGGGTAAGAGAATTTTCTTTTAATCGCAGGCTTTTAGATGCCTTCCTCTCTATGAGTGGTCCAAAGGTTCTTGCCTCTTGGGCGTTTTCTAGGAAGTTCTTTGAGCCATCTGCCTTTCTCTCCAAATTCTCTTTACTTCACACACTCGATCATTCAAAAATTACCTTCCTCAGATCCAGAACTTAAAAAAATTCTGAAGCTAATCACAGATAAAGGTTGCCTTAAGTGTCCTACATATGAGGTCCCTCTCTGCCCTATTCAAGAAGAATTTAAATTTAAATTTAAAAAAATGGTATTTCCCAGTTTTTTCACTAATGAGAAGAAAGGAAGAGGAATCTCATAAGATAACCAGTTTTCCAGGTTTCCAAGTATAGTGTTAGAAACTCCTGGAGTTTCACGGACCTTTGAGATCTGGAGGGAAAATACCATGATGCCAAAAGATGTGTTAAAAAGGGGAGAAAGTTGAGAATTACATCTTTTTAGAACCAAAGTTGAGAGAACTGCAATAAGCATATCCTCTTGAACCACAGGAACCTTTATGGCATTTTACGATTCATAAGGGGCATAACTTCATGGCCAAGATAAGTGTCTTAATGTTTGACAAAAAGGGAAAATTCCAAGTGCATTTTGAATGGAAAATTAGGATCAGAGTCTATGAGTCATCATTTGCCAAGAATAAGATAAGAAGGATAAAAAGGTGGCAGGGGTGAGAAAGCAAAGCCTGAAAGAATTCTGAGTATTTCTTTTATTACTAAGTAAATCTTTCTGAGTATGGAGCTGCCACTGGTCTTCCTGTCAAACGGAAGGGATAGAAGGGATTTGTGGCTTTTACTGAGATCCCAATATATACCAGGTTCTGTGGTAAATATTTTACATCAGTTATTCATTTACTCACACAGCAGCCCAGTGAAACAGCGATTAGTAATTCTCATCCATAGATGAGAAAACTGAGGTCTTGGCAACTCAGTCTAGTTGTCCCATGTTACATGACTAGTTGCGATTCAAGCTTAACTATCCCAATTGCACTGTTTCCATTAGAACATACTTCCCACCCAAACTCCTACTTGCTGTGTTGACATAGCTATTTGCATATCAACGTCTTAGTTTAGTGTTGTCATTTTGCTTTGAAATCTGAAAGGATTATTTTTTATTATTATTCTTTTTTGTGTGTGTACCATCAAATTGGATCTGATTGGTACAGGAGGAGCTTGCCCTCCTTCTCCAGCAGAGCATCTGGTGGATTCAAACAGCATACTTCTGGGATTGCAGTGCAGCTTCTTGCCACTAGGCCACCAGAGCTCCCTAGGAAATTTTTTTTTTTTAGTATATCAGTTTATTTTTTTCTATAA